GCACTGAAGAAAGTTCCACGACAGACCAGGATAATTAATTACAAACTTCAAGAAGATAACCAGGTATAGTCTGTTGGAAGAACGCCAACCAAGATAAACCTCCATCCAGGAATAAAACACTCTTTGTTTCCAGCGTTTGCCCATACGCGTGTCCGTCCTCTTATTCAGTTGTCACAGCTGCAGCCCCTGAAGAAGATCATGGCCACTTCCTCTCTCATAAGCCAAGTTGTTTCCTTCTCCGTTCCTCCCTGCGTGTTCTAGGATGCAGAGGGGATGGGCCTGGGTTCTCCTCTGACTGCTCAGTCGGCCTCTGCCCTTCCCCAGCCTCCTCCACCACCTCTGGAGCCACCCTTCCACTCCCTGTTGGCTGTTCCTCCTCTCCCTCGGAGTCAGTCTCCACCAGGGACATGACACCAATATTCCAGTCAGTCGAGATCCTTGTCGGCATCAATGAACGATTACTTTACGGTTTTTCTCTTGGTGGAAAGAATTCAGACTGTTCCCCCCCCCACCGATTTCTTGGTAGGCGCAACGTACACCGGATGCTGCGCTTTTCCTCTGCCCTCTACATCCCTAATTTCTCCTGTGCTACAAACCGGGGATTTTAGGAAAGAGGACTCACCCGTCTGATGCTTTGATCCCATCCAACATGGAGCTTCCTCGGCGCAGCTGGCAGCTCTTCTTCCTCCTGAAGGTCACCCCTGGGGATAAGAGCTAAAAACCCACACGGATAAGGAGGCGATCTGGGCCGGGGGCAGGGCAGGGAGGGGAGGGCACACGACAATTTCTGTGCAGGTAGTCCTCGTGTCAACTTGTAAAACATTCCCATGCCTGTTTTCAAAGTTGCAAGGGGGGGTGAGAAAAATCTGAAGGAATAGCAGGGCAGTTTAAAATCAAAAGTACATTCCACCCTTACCTTCACCTTCCACCTGGGGAAAATCCTCCATTGGAGAACATGATGGATGACACCTAGCGTGAACGTGCTTCTGTTGGAGAATCTGATTTATGACACACCCAGGGGGTGGGGGGGAAGGCAGGGTCAGAGGTGGCTGTAAATTACATGTGCCACAGTTGGCTTCATTTAGGTTATGTCATGGCCCTGTTGGAATCTGATTCGGGGGGGGGGTGTCGAACAGCTGACAGGGAGTGGGAGCGTGGCTCCAGTGGCTGTGGAGGAAACTGGGGAAGGGCACATTCCGGTTGGGCATTCAGAGGATGACCCAGACCCACCCCCTCTTCATCCTAGGGCAGGCAGGAACGGATAAGGGAACAACGTGGCTTACGGGGGGAGGAAAGGGCCCTGATCCCCTTCATTAGCTGCAGCTGGGAAAACAGGATTTTAAAAGGGTGTTAGCGCACAGCACCTTGCTGGAAGCAAAGCTTGCATTATCTTTGCTTGTCAAGTCTTATCTGGGTTCTGGCGTCCTCCCAACTGCTGCCCTGTCTCATTTAATGGCTGCAGCGTGGTTTATGTTGCTTTTTATTTATTATTTTCTATGTACTTTGGGTTCGGACTGAATTTCTTCCCTTTAAAAACTGTTCTTGGAAGAGTTTTTTATCCAGCTGTTGATAACTGGACATTGGGGGCCAAGTTGGAGGAATTAAAGGGACTCTACCTACTTTTGTGACTTTGTTGCTTTTGTGCCACGCCCCTTTGGGTTATCACAGGTTAATGCCGGCATGTTGCTCCTAATAAATCCTTTGAATTTTTTGGAAACTTGGCTCAAGGCTCATGATTTAATTAGGGCAATTGCCGGAACCCTGACACCCCGACTTACAACCGTTCGTTTAGTGACCGTTTGAAGGGCACTGAAAAAAGTGACTCACAACCTTTTTTATGTCCTTATTTAGCGTTGCACCATCTCTATGCTCGCATAGTCAAAATTCCGATGCTTGGCCACTGACTCATACTTATGACTGTCGCAGTGTCCCGGGGTCCCCCTTTGCGACCTTCCAACGAGCGAAGTTAATGGGGAAGCCGGATTCGCTTAACGACCGCCATTGCTAGTTTTAACAACTGAAGGGGTTCCCTTCACCGCTGGGGAGAGACAGCTGGTAAAATGGAGCTAAGCTCGCTCGACGACGGTCTCGCTTAGCGATGGAAAAGTGGACGCTCCCTTGTGGTCATAAGTCGAAGACTACCTGAAGCTGGGAGGGGAGTTCGAATTAACCATCTGCCACTTTGCAATGCAATCTCCATCAGGTGCACAAATATATTCTACTGTCAATGCAGCGTCTGGAGAAAGATTTTGGCACATGAATTACCGGGAGTTCTCGTTTTACGACCAGAATCGAGACCAGGACTTCCTGCTGATAATGAAGATGGACGTTAAGCGAGTCACCTCCAATTTTACAACATGTCAGTCATTAAGCGAATCGCTGCAGTTGTTAAGCGAGTTTTGCAGTCGTTAAGCAAATCTGGCTTCCAACATTGGGCTTTGCTTATCCAAAGCCTGTTGGGAAATCCACAAGTGACAATTATGTGACCTCAGGACACTGCGATGAGAGGTAGTCCTCGACTTATGACCTCAACTGAGCCCCAAACTTATGTTGTTAAGTGAGACATTTATTGAGAGTGAATTTAGCCCCTTTTCACAACATTTCTTGCCACAGTTATTAAGTGATTCACGGCAGTTGTTAACTTAACAGCACGGTTAAGTGAACCTGGTCGCAAAAGGGGATCACGTGACCCCGGAGACCATCGTAAATACGAGTCAGTTGCCAAGCGTCTGAATTTCGATCACGTGACCTCATGGGGATGCTGCCAGGGTTGTACAAGTGTGAAAAACAATCATGTCCCTTTTTCGATGCCGTTGCAACTTTGAACGGTCACTAAACAAAAAGTTGTACGTCGAGGACTGTCCGTAATTGTTCTCACTTTCAGGAAATTTCTCTGTGACGACCCAAAGGGGCATGGCACAAAAGCAACAAAGTCACAAAGTAGGTAAAGCCCCTTGAATTCCTCCAACTTGGCCCCCAAAGTCCAGATATCATCGGCTGGAGAAAAAAACTCTCCCAAGAACAGTTTTTAAAGGGAACAAATTCCATCGGAACCCAAAGTACATCTAAATTATAAATAAAAACCAACACAAACCACACTACAGCGATTAACGAGACAGGGCAGGATAAGGAATTGCAGACTTTCAAAAGATAACGAAACGCACACAGTTGGGAGGATGCCAGAACCCAGATAAGACTTGAGAAACAAAAATAATTCATGCTTTGCTTCCAGCAAGGTGCTGTGCGCAAACATACTTTATATCCTGTTCTCCCAGCTGCAGCTAATGAAAGGGATCAGGGCCCTTTCCTCCCCCATAAGCCACGTTGCTCCCTTATCCGTTTCTCCCTGCGTGCCCTAGGATGAAGAGGGGGGTGAGGGCCTGGGTCTTCTTCTGAATGCCTAGCTGGATTGTGCCCTTCCCCAGTTTCTCCAAAGCCACCGGAGCCACACTCCCATTCCTTGTCAGCTGTTCGACCTCCCCCTTGGAATCAGATTCCAACAGGGGCATCACATTCTCCTTGGTTCTAGATTGGATCTTCCATGATCTTAAAAACCTTCCCCATGAAAAAGCAGCCATCTAAGCAACGTAATCACTGCCAACCAAGCCCGCTACAGGTTGCAAATGAGCTTCCACTCTCTGTCCCACTTTACCTGATAGTTTGGCTCTGTTCCTTTCGGATTTAGGGGACTTCTGGGTGTTTCCGGTCCAAAATCGCTCCAGTAGGTGGTATCCTGGCTTTGGTTGGCATTCTTGGGCCTGTTTTCAGCCACTTGGTAAGACTGGACCACCAGGGATCTGTAGGCTCCCGGAACCCGGAACGGTGGTGGCACGTAGCCCTCTGTCGGAGGAGCCGCCGTCTTCCACTGCAGGGCGCAGTCGCCATTTAAGGGAGGCTGAATATTTCTCAAGATGTTCTCCAGCTTCTCATGGCAACCCTGGGCGGGAATCCCGACGGGGAGTTGCTCCTTTGCCTGGGTGCCCCAAAAGAGCTGCCGAGGTTTGTCGAAACTCTCCAGTGCACCCAGTTTGGTTTCGGTGCGGCAGAGGGAATCCGTCGCTTGCTGGAGCAAAGTCTGGCAAATTTTGAGATCGAGAACGCACTTGCCGAATTGGTGCTCAAACTGGGACCGGACGTTCCCGTTTTTGCCGCGGGTGCTCTGGAGCACCTCGTTCATCACCGAGGCGACGTTTGGGTCCTCGTCCGAGGATAGGCTCCTCTCGCGATCCCGGATCTCGGCCAGCTGAGGGGAAGAGAGGTCGGTCATATCGCCGGTAGAACTCGTTGATTCTTGTCGAGAATCGGGGTCCTGCTCGGTTCTCGACATCTCGTCCCCCTCCGTCTCGTCGCCCAGCTCTGGGTAACAAGTGTATATCTCGTTGATTTGCACGCTGGACAAGCTCAGGTTGGCGTTGCTGTCCTCTTCCGCGTCTTTCAAATGCCCCTCGAAGAACGGCCTGGAGTGCGCCGTGCGGAGAACTGGCTCGGAGACCTGGACGAGGTCACTCAAATGACTCTCGAAGAAAGGGCCGGATTGCGCCGTGCAGAGAACTGGCTCTGACACCTGGACGACAACAGGTTTGATCTCCGGCGAGGAAGCAGCGCATCTGGTCACGGTGAAACTTCTGGCTAAGGAACAAAGTAAGAATGGCGGTGGGAGGAAGTGCGTCAAGGGGATTTCAATCCAATTTCAAACCTGCTAACGATTTCTCTTTTAATTTTATTCGCTTATATCCTGCCTTTATTATTTTTTTATAAATAACTTGAGGCGGTGAACATATCCGACGTGCGTTCCTCCTCCTATTTTCCCCACAACAACAACCCTGTGAGGTAGTTTGGGTTGAGAGAGAGGGACTGGGTCCAAGTCACCCAACTGGCTTTCGTAGCTATGGTGGAACTAGAACTCACCGTCTCCAGGTGATTGGCCCAAAGTCACCACACGTTGACTTTCATGGCTAAGGCCGTCTCACTGGGCTTGTTGAATAAATGCATTTGCTGTGGGATTTGTACATTCGGGATTCACAGATGGATAGTCCTCAACTTGTGGCCATAAATTCCCTAGTTTGCATGATAATGTATTCTCTGCGTAATGTCAACTTGCTCCGTTCCCTTTACTCTGCAGCCACCATCTCCTGGTGATTGGGCCGAATGTCATCCAGCCAGCCACCATGCCTAGGGCTGGACTAGAATTCACAATCTCCTGGTGATTGGCCCAAAGTCACTCAGCTGGTTTTCATGGCTAAGGAGACTAGAACTCCCAGTCTCCTAGTGATTGGCCTAAAGTCAGCCAGCTGGCTGTCATAGCTAAGGCGAGACTAGAACTCAGAGACTCCTGGTGATTGGCCCAAAGTCACCTAGCT